GGCAAAGTTAAGCTAAGCTAAGCTAAGCTAAGATGAGATAAGCTAAGCTAAGCTAAGCTAAGCTAAGCTAAGCTAAGCTAAGCTAAGCTAGGCGAAACTAAGCTGGGTTAACCCAGGGGGCGCAACTGGGGGAACCGCAGGGCGGATCCTGGGGGAACCGCCAGGGGCGGGACCCACTGCCCGGCCCTTTGAGCACACAGGTAAGAACCCTTCCAGGCAGAGCCTAGGAAGGGAAAAATCGATTCGGGGTTCTCGCGTGAATTCGCACAGTGTGTAAGCCTTCTCATCTGTAAGCCCGGTCACGTTCCACGTTGCCACTGCCAGTCGCCTTCTTTGTGCATCCTAAGCGGGGCGCCCCGAAGTGCCAGCGCCAAGAAAATAATGCGGTGAAGCTGTGTCTTCGCCCCCCGGGCACCTTCATTTCTGATTTCCTTTCCCTTTGTACGTTGCCCGCCCGAGGCTTTTCTGACGCGCGGAAGAGAGCTTCTAGAAGCCGGGGTCGTTGTGGAGGGCGCCCCATTGCTCCCATTCTTGACTCTTCCAATGCTTATGCAATACACCTATGTGGATGGAGACAGCGAGGGCGCTCGCCCCGGCGACGGTCGTCGTCAAGGGTGCGTCTTCGATTTGAATCGACTGCTTCTTGAAGCCTCAACCCGTCAACATACGCACGAGACCAAACAAGAAACGCAATGGTACCCTCGTAGCAACAGGCATATCACGGCTTGTCCAAACCCTCGGCCCATTGCCGGTAAGACCATGCCCGCGGAACTTGTTTACCAAATCATCCACATCCTGAGGGGTGCCCATCTTGACAAACACGTCCCCGCCGAAGGACTCTGCTTTGATGTAGGCTTCGGATGGTGGCGGGATGTCGATGAGTGGAGGTGTGCTTCAATGAAGTTTTCAGCTGCCTCCAGGTTGTCGAGACTATCCAATCCGCAGAACACCGCAACTTTTCCATCTGTCGTTCATCCCTTCCCCGCGAGGCCGTTGAGCCCCCCCATCTCTTGCAGCTCGGCGCCCGCCGCCGCCCCGGGCGGAGTTGCTGATCCTGATCGTGCCGACATCGCTTTCGGCGTGGGCGCCCCCGCGGCTGATGCCCTGGATGTGATGTCGCCCACTGCCGCCTGCAATGGGTCAACGGCGTCCATGAGGTCTCGGCGAGACACGCCGCGCTGCATGATCGCGTCGATGTCTTTCCGGATTAGATCAAGGCGACGTTGGAATACTGTTTCAAAGCTCTCTTTTGTAATGTGTTGCTGCACTTGCTGCTCCTGGTGCGCGCTGCATCATGCGCCGTTGGCGTTGTTGCTGCAATTCGTGACATTGCCCCTCTTCTTTAGAGCCTGCCATTGACGAGATAGCCATTGCTGCGCCTGGACTTCGGAGCCGGGGGGACTTGCCGGCCCGCTTCAGTGCTGAACGCCTCGGTTCGGGAGTCGCGATATCGATTGCATCCGGCATTGCTGGCCGCGAGGGAACGCGAGCGGAAGGAAGTGACAACTATCCGAAATCCAATGCAGTAGTGGAGATGGTACATGAAGATATGCACTCATGCCTGAATCCTTGAGCCACCTCTCATCAGTTGAGCCAAAATGGTTTGAGCGGAAGACGAAGTCGGAGATGGGGCGCTTGTCCTCGTCGGGAACCTCCTCGGCGCCGAGGGCGAGCTGGGCGGCGGCGCGGTCGCCGAGGCGCGCGCCAGAGAAGGGCGCGGCTTCCTGGGCGACGTTGAGCCGGCAACTCAGGCGCGGAGTGAAGGCGGGCGGCACGGCGATGAAGGACCTGTCGACGTCGGTGCCAACCCGGCGGCGCTGCGAGAAATCGGTCGGGATGTCGGCGGTGATCTCGATGGCGTCGCCGCGCATGAGCTGGCGCCAGAAGACCTGGCGACGCTGGGAGCAGCTCTCGTGCGTCTGCCTGCGTGCTCCAACTTGCGGGGAGACGTGGGGCTGCGAGCGATTCTCGGTGAACTCGAGGTCGCGCGCGGCCGCGACAGCGCGCTGGCGCGGATTCGCTGGGGCCCGCTGCGCGCGGGATCACCACTCCCTCTGCGCTGCTTCCCTCTGGGGCTCCGAGAGCTCGCGGTTGCGGGCGTTGAGGACGCGGGTCTCCGTCTCCGAGTTTGGGCTCGGGGCGCGGGCGGGCGCGGTCCTGCCAGGGGCCGCGACGTCGCCGTCGACGGCGGGCTGCCGAAAGAAAGGGGGGCGACGGGCAGCGCAACCTTGCGGAGGCGGTTCGCGCTCGGCCCGCGCGGGCCCAGGTGCGAGCACTGCGGCGCCGCCCGCGCCTCTCGCGAGGCAGCCCGAGTAGTTGGCGACGCGGGGGGAGGAAGAGCGCGGGCCGCGGGAAAGCGCATCCTCTGACTCCGCGAGCGAGCCGCGGCGCTCCTGGATCAAGACGGCGGCCCCTGGGGGGGGCGCGCTCTCAGGGCGGCGGAACCTGAGGCGGCGCCGGCGAGGATCGTGGCAGAGTGGCCCCTTGCGTCCCAAGAAGCAACTCGCAGCGGCGCGACTGACCTGGCGGCCTCCCACGGGGCCCACTCAATGTTTCATGGAACTAGATGATGCGCCAACCGACATGTAGGCCGACTCGACTTCCTACTAGATGAGGTACGTGTTGGCGCCTATCTGCGCGGCTGCAGCTGGGCCCCATTCGAGTTTGGGTTGTTCGCGGGGGCCCTGCGGCTGCGCTTCCACGGTCGGCATCGCCCCCTGTTGTGAGATTCACAGCCAAGTGGCGTGAATCTCACAGCAGGGGGCGAGGGTCTGCGCCGATCGGCAAAACAGGAAGTACAACAAAAAACACTAGTTGTCCCATCCCGGATCGACCTCAGAGGGCTGGGGGGCCAACTGCCGGGCCAGCTCAGGCCGAGATCGAGAAGCACGCCCCGAGAGCCCGTCGCCCTGCCCCTGCCTTTTCGGGGCGGCCTTCCCATAAGGCGGGGGGTCTTGACCTCCATGCCAAGGCAGACCCCTCCCATGATGGCGGCGAGCCGCTTTGTTTGGACCACCTTCCTGACTTGCTTTGGCGACTCCTCCGCGGGGGCGAAGAGCGGGGCCTCGGCCCCGCAGACGTTCCGCGCGCTGAAACGGCACCACGGTCCGCCGACCAGCCTCATGGCGCGCGCGAGCGCCAGGGCTCGAATCAGCGCAACCTCTGCGCATCCTTGGGCGTGTAGATGGAAACGACGGGCTAGATAGTCTTCGAGTATGTTGACATGATCTGGATGAAGATGGGCACTCTGTATTCATTGAGCTGCGGCGCGACAGATTTCTGCGGGTTGAAACTTGTTGGGCGCGCCGATGTTGAAGCGGATCGGGCTGGACTCGAGGTCGTAGTCGGCGAGGTCGATTGCAGGTAGATGAGCCGCAGCGAAAGAGATGGCAACTCCGAGGCGTTGCCAGGCTGTCGCGGCGCAACTTGCTCTTCTGCCTGTGCTTCCCGTCGGCGGCGCGTGCTGCTGAGGTCCCGTTCGGCGCTCTCGAGGCGGGCCTGCTGCGGCGCGTGGCAGGCCTCGAGAGTAGCGCGGAGGTCGGCCTGGACGTTGGACCTGGTGTGGTCGAAGGAGGTTGCTGAGCTGCTGGGTGGCCAGAGCGAGCTGACTGTCGACAATGCCGCCAATAGCAGCGGCAATTCCCCAAGAATTGTTCTGTCGGGTGGCCGCGGAAGTCGGGGCGGTGGCTCCCGATGTCCAGGTGGTGCACCATCCCGAGGTCGAGGCGCTCGTGGGCAGGTAGGGGCGTCTGGTCGGTAGCGAGCGTGATGGGAACCTCCAGCACATGCAGTGGCAGGAAGCTCGTCGCTTGGGAATGTCGGGGCCATGTCCAGGTCGAGAGCAAATCCGGCGCGCTCTGCCCCATCGAGAGAGTCGAATGTTTGTCGTTCAGAACGGGCTGGCGACAGTGAGTGAATGCGGCCTCCATAGCACCAGGAGCTTGGTGCAACGCCTTTGGAGCGAGCCGAACCGCAAGTTCTGGACCCACTTCTTCCAGACGTAGTGACCACTGCAGCGCCTTCCCCGTCACGCCGACGCCGTGAGCTGCCTGATCCAGCCCATGGGCCGCGTCCTTGGAGAGGGTCTCGGCGGTCTGTGGCACCAGCAGGAGGTTCACGCTCAATCATTGTTTCTCGTCGCTAACGGCGGCGTGTTTGTCGACGTGTGCCGCGTGTCCTCTGCTGCGCGATCCTCGCGATGGTGAGTTCGAGCTCGACGTAGAAGATGTCATGGTGCTTGCTGTACTGCACACTTCTGATTGTCGATAATGACATTCTTGAAGCAACCCGACCCGAGAGCAGCAATAACGTAAAGCAGCAGGACGAGGGGAACGCGTGCACGAGCGCTGGCACGTGCTGCTTGGGGCGGACCAGGACTTGAATGCAACTGTGCCACGGGCGGACCATGTCTTGGATATGGGTGTGCCTGGGGCGAAGCAGGAATTGGATATGGAGTTTCCTGGGGCGGACCGGGGACTGAATTGCCTGCGGCGGACCAGGTCTTGGACGTGGAAGACTGGGCGGAACGATTTTGTCGTGCCTTGTTGGAAGGGATCCTACCCCGCTGAGGCAGGGAATGGTTTGCCATCTTTGCCTTGAGCCAACAAGACTACATCCTGATGGTGATGATGATGACGATGACGGTGACGATGTTGAAGATGATGATGGTACTGGTGATGATGATGACGATGCTGATGATGGCGTTGATAACGATGGTGATGATGATGATGGTGGCAACGATGCTGATGATAACGACGATACTGAAAGTGATGATGATGATGATGACGATGATGATGATGATGATGATGATGACGATGGTGGTGATGATGATGTTGATGATGATGACGATGATGATAACAGTGCTGCTGGTGATGATGACGATGATGATAGTGACTCCGATGTTGCTGCTGATGCTGATGAGGGTCATGATGGTGACGCTGATGATGATGATGATGATGATGATGATGATGATGATGATGATGATGATGGTGATTTGGACATGCGGATGCAGAGGCAGGGATGGGAGGAGAGGGGTGGCCACCGGGAGGGAAGGAGACGCGGGGCGCTGTCTCTTCGAAACGAGAACTCAACACCACAAGATGGTTGGACAAAATCCCTCGCTCCCTCTTGGGAGTGAAGAACGGCTCCCTGGAGCGCAGCGACGGCGTGGCAAGCGTACCTGCTGCTCAGAGAAGGGCGGCTGGCACCTCGACAAGAGCCCCACAACAGCGCCGAGGCGGCGTGATCGCGTCTCCGACAGCGACCACGCCTCGGGTTTGGACGCCCGAAATGGGCACGGAAACAATGGGCACAATGCCCAACAGCAAATGTTGTCTCGAACCAACAGCGGCCGCTGTTGGGCAGGCGGCCTTCTGTCTCAAATGGACACAGGCCGCGGCGGCGTGGACAACGAGTCCTGTTCAAAATGAACAGGAACTGCTGTTGGGCATTGTACCCACTCTTTCCGTGCCACTTTCGGGCGTCCAGATCGGGTAGCGATGGGTCAGATCCCAACCAGACGGTCCAGATCCCAACCGGCGAGAAAACCAGAACGTCCAGATCCCAATAACCAGACAAAGCTATGTGAAGCATTGTTCTTGCATGATCGTCTCGGCAATGACAGCCGAGCGGTTTCCTATACGGAAGCTCGCTCGGTTTTCGTAGTGCGCAGTTGGGATCTAGACTGTTCCACTGCGCTAGGATTTCCGGATGCTGAATAGTCAAGGGGGTCCGTCAGAGTGAGGGGGCCGAACGGTCATTTATTGCCCTTGGGTGCGTGGCTGAAGTAGGGATCCGTGGTGAGGGTTCTGCTTGTTGCGCTGTTGCGTTGTTGTTGTTGTTGTTGTTGTTGTTGTTGTTGTTGTTGTTGTTGTTGTTGTTGTTGTTGTTGTTTGTTCCCTACCTAGGCTCTGCCTAGAAGGGTTCTTACTCTCTAGCTTAAAGGGCCGGGCAGTGGAAAGCGCCCCGGGCGGTTCCCCCAGTCCCCTGGGAGCGGTTCCCCCAGTCCCCCGGGAGCTTTAGCTTTGGCTTTAGCTTTAGTTTTAGCTTTAGATTTAGCTTAGCTTTAGCTTAGCTTTAGCTTAGCTTTAGCTTAGGTTTACCTTAGCTTTAGCTTAGCTTTAGCTTAGCTTTAACTTAGCTTTACCTTAGCTTTACCTTAGCTTTACCTTAGCTTTAGCTTAACTTTAGCTTAGCTTCAGCTTAGCTTTGGCTTAGCTTTAGCTTAGGTTTACCTTAGCTTTCCCTTAGCTTTAGCTTAGCTTTACCTTAGCTTTACCTTAGCTTTAGCTTAGCTTCAGCTTAGCTCCGGCTTAGCTTTAGCTTAGCTTTAGCTTAGCTTTAACTTAACTTTAGCTTAGCTTTAGCTTAGCTTCAGCTTAGCTTCAGCTTAGCTTCAGCTTAGCTTTAACTTAGCTTTAGCTTAGCTTTAGCTTAGCTTTAGCTTAGCTTTACTGTTACTACTAATGCTGCTTTCCTAGGGACTCTAACTCCTAGGTAGGGTCGCACTGGGATAATTTGTTTGTTTGTTTGTTTGTTCGTTGTTGCCATCCCACCCGCGACCCACCCGCGACCCACCCCGCGACCCACCCCGCGACACACCCCGCGACCCACCCCGCGACCCACCCCGCGACACCCGCGACCCACCCCGCGACCCTCCCGCGACCCACCCCGCGACCCACCCGCGACCCTCCCGCGACCAACCGCGACACACCCCGCGACCCACCCGCGACCCACTTGCGACCCACCCCGCGACACATCCCGCGACCCACCCGCGACCCACCCCGCGACCCATCCGCGACCAACTTGCGCCACACCGCGACCCATTTGCGACCCACCCGCGACCCACCCGCGACCCACTTGCGACCCACCCGCGACCACCCACCACCGCGACCCACCCCGCGACCATCCGCGACCACCTGCGACCCAACCGCGACCCTTGCGACCCACACGCGAACCAGCGACCCACCTGCGACCTCGCGACCCACTCGCGACCCACCCGCGACCCACCCACCCGCGACCCACTTGCGACCCACCCGCGACCCACCCGCGACCCCCCCGCAACACACCCCGTGACCTGCTGCGACCCACCCCGCGACCCACCCCGCGACCCACCCGCGACCCACCCCGCGACCCACCCGGCGACCCACCCCGCGACACACCCCGCGACACACCCCGCGACCCATCCGCGACCCACCTGCGACCCACCCGCGACCCACTTGCGACCCACCCGCGACCCACCCCACGGCCCACTTGCGACCCACTTGCGACCCACCCCGCGACCTACCCACATTGGTTTAACGAAAAAATCGGCGCCTGGTGCGGGCTCGTTGTATATGTTGGTGAAACTTTGGCGCGTGCGGCGCGCTTTTCCAGACTCTCGCAGGCTGCTGACGTCCCCATCGCCCCCTCACTCTGATCCGCATATGCGGGGTGCTACGGTACATAAGCTCGAGGCATTCCCAGACGGCCGTGCATACGAATGTGTAGCAAGTGGCACGTGTGCCATGGCTCGTGCACAACATGGAAGTGGGAGAAGGAGGAGGTGGAGGAAAGGGGAAGCGGGGGCAAGACATCGCCCCTCGGGGCCCAGCAGCGGGGCCAACATCCCAGGTGGGGAGGGGGGGGGGAGGTGGTGTGCGTCGCGACGCGGAATAAAATGATCGGAGCGGAGGGGGCACAGGGCGGAGGTCCCACTGGGGCGGTGGGAGCGCGGAGAGGAGGGGGGGAGGTGGTGTGCGTCGCGACGCGGAATTAAATGGTCGGGGCGGAAGGGGCACTGGGCGGGGCTTGGGGCAGAAGGCCACGGGGCGGGGGTCCAACTGGGGCGCTGGGGACGAGGGGGGAGGGGGGGAGGTGGCGTGCGTCGCGACGCTGAATAAAATTGTCGGAGCGGAGGGGCGCGGGGCGGAGCCCCCGCTGCGGCGCTGGGGGCGCGGGGAGGGAGGTGGGGTAGGTGGTGTGCGTCGCGACGCGAAATAAAGCGTTCGTGGCGGAGGGGGAAGTGGGCGGGGCACTCGCTGGGGCGCTGGGGACGCGGGGGGGCTCGGGGCAGAGAGCCACGGCGCGGGGGTCCCACTGCGGCGCTGGGGACGCGGGGGGGGGGAGGGTGTGCGACGCGGAATAAAGCGTTCGTGGCGGAGGGGGCAGTTGGCGGGGTTCCCGCTGGGGCGCTGGAGACGCGGGGAGACTCCGGGCAGAGAGCCACGTCGCGGGGGTCCCACTCTGGCGCTGGGGGCGCGGAGGGGGGGGGGGTGCGACGCGGAATAAAGCGTTCGTGGCGGGGGCAGTGGGCGGGGCACCCGCTGGGGCGCTGGGGACGCGGGGGGGCTCGGGGCAGAGAGCCACGGCGCGGGGGTCCCACTCTGGCGCTGGGGACGCGGTGTGTGTGTGTGTGTGTGTGTGTGTGTGTGTGTGTGTGTGTGTGTGTGTGTGTGTGTGTGTGTGTGTGTGTGTTGTGTTGTGTGTGTGTGTGTGTGTGTGTGTGTGTGTGTGTGTGTGTGTGTGTGTGTGTGTGTGTGTGTGTGTGTGTGTGTGTGTGTGTGTGTGTGTGTGTGTGTGTGTGTGCGTGCGTGCGTGCGTGCGTGCGTGCGTGCGTGCGTGCGTGCGTGCGTGCGTGTGTGTGTGTGTGTGTGTGTGTGCGACGCGGAATAAAACGGTCGGAGCTCTAGACACCCTGTGACATATAATAAACGTATACGAAACTAGTATCAAACGTATACGAAACGTAAGGGGCGCGCTGCCGAAAATTACCAAAAACAGGAACAACTAATACGGAACGTGTGCGGGTCGTGTGCGGCACGCGACACGTATGCCCAACGTATACGAAACTATAATTAACGTCTATGACACGTCTATTACGGTAAACATACCTCGCGAGTCCGTTCAAATCCTATCATAATCCTTCAGGAATCCAACAGGAATCCGGACTCCCTCAAGAAACTTGAAGGGCATCCGAACGAATCCCTCGGGAATCCTTCGTGGATCCCCAGGAATCTTCTGAGACCCCCAGGAATCCTTCAGGAATCCCCAGAAGAATCCCCAGGAACCCCTTCATGATGAATTTCTTTTCAAGAACCCGCAAGCAGGAATCCCTCAGGAACCCTCAGGAATCCTCAGGAAACCGTCAGGAACTCCGGAAGAATCCCTGACGAATTCTCAGGAATCCCTTTGGAGTCTTCAAGAATCGCGCAGACATCCAAAAAGGAACCCTCAGGAACCCTCAGGACACCGTCAGAAATTCAGTTGGAATCCCCACGGGTCCCTCGAAAACCTGGAGGAATTCTTCAGAAGTCTAGAGCCTAGAAGGAATCCCGAAACATCCTTCAAGAATTCCCAGGAGTCCTCCGGACACAATCAGCAAATTCCATAGGAATTCGTGAGGAATTCGCAGGAAACCTTCCAGAAACTTCGAGAATCGTTTAGAGACCCACGAAAGGAATACTTGTAGAATCTCTCAAGGACCCACGATAATCCTTCCATAAATCTTCTGGAATCCTTCAGTAATCCGGGTGAATTCTAAGGACCCCCCCCCGGATTGATCAGGAATCTTCGGGGATCCCTCAGGCATCCTCGGGGTTTCCTTAGGAATCCATCAGGAATCGAAACAGGAAGCTGTAGATGGATACCCTCAGGATTCCTCAGGGATTCCCCTGAGGAAGCCTGGCGGAAACCTGAGAGGAACCCACAGGAATCCTGGACGAAACCGAGGAGGCGCCTTCACGGAACCGCCTATGAAGTGCCTATCAAGCGCCTATGTAGCGCTTTCCAAGCGCTTTAGGCGCGTGGATGCTCAAATGGACCGTTCTGGTTTCATTACCGGTTGGGATCTGGACCTTCTTGGCGGGATCTGAAGCGTCCACTTGGGATCTGGACCTTTCTCGACTCGGGTGGTGCCAAAGTCGGGGGCGTCCAGGAGGGGGGCGCTCAAGAAGGGGGGCGGCGCCAATCATGGCCCGAGGCATGTGCGCGCACCGAGGGGGGACCAATGGACGTGTTGAGATGAGAAGAGGGGGGCCATGCAATCCGAGGAGATATCATGGCACTTCACCTAGCCGCAGCCCTCCTCTCGGCCGCCGCCGATCCCTGGCCCAAGGTGTCCCCAGGATTTCTGGGGACGCCCAAACGGCTTCCAGAGCATCCCTCGGGAGGCCATGAAGGCCCCAAGGGCTCCAAAATAATGGTGCGAAAAGCTGGGGGCACCGTGTGCCAGGGGCATCGTTCCTCACCGCGGGCACACACACAGCTACTTTAAAGCTGTGTGCCTGAGGTGATCCAACCACGGGGCCAGCGAGCGTTCAAACGCAAGCCAACAAACTCCCGAACAGCATATCGAAACGATGCAAAGTCGCAGGGCCGGCCCAGAAACGCCGCCCAGGCATCTTCGACGCAGGGCGAGCGCTCAGGGGTGCCAACAATTCGAGGGACACCCTGCCCTGTCGACTGCTATGGCGATTTTCACGTCGACTGCCGTGCCGAGCGGATACCCTTCTCACCCACAAAGACTAGCAGGTGATAAAGAGGTGGGGGGGGTGAGAACGAGGGGGGGGGACAAGAGATCCCTTCGGGGAGCGAGGGGTCTGCTCCACCCGAGCTCCGCCCGGACTCATGGCTCCTTCGGATGGATGCTTCCCTTGGCACTGGACCTCTCCTCCCGGGTTGTCCCTGCCTGACCAGGGGAAGAGAGCAGGAGGGAGGGAGGGAGGCAGGGAAGAGAAAAGAGGAGGAGGAACAAAAGGGACGAGGAGGAGGAGGAGCAGGCGGAGGAGGAGGAGGAGGAGGAGTGAGGAACAGGAGGACGGAGGACAGAAGGGATGACAGAGGCTGGATTATGGTAGTGGTGATGACGATGGTAATGATAACGACGCTGCTGCTGATGATGATGATGAGGAGGAGGAGGAGGACGAGGAGGAGAAGGAGGAGGAAGAGGAGGACGAAGAGAAAGAGGAGGAGGAGGAGGAGGAGGAGGATGAAGGACAATGTAAACCCAAGACTCGTCAACGATGTTGGAAGAAACCCTCCCTCCAACCTCCCTTTTCATAGGCCACTGCAAGGATTCATGTCCACTGAAGGAAGTGCCCCGTTGGGAGACAACCGTTTGAGGATCCTGAAACGTGGCAAAACACCATTATCGGGACTCCAACGCCACGAATCAGCCTGACTGTTGCGTTTTAGCGGTCCTGAATGGTGCCAGAACGCCGTTCCTGGGACTTCACCACCGCGAATCAACGTCACTGTTTCGCCCTGACAACCCTGAATCCTTCCCACATGCCATTTTTGGTACGTCAACCATGGGAGCCCGTGAACCTCTCACAACTGTTTGGAACAAATGTGCGCGGCGCTAAAGCGAGAACCACAAGTTGAAAACGACCCGCCATCAATCCGTGAAGCTCTTGTAAGTGTTCGAGACGAGTGTGCGCGGCACTAAGGCGAGAACCGCATTTTGAAAACCACCTGCCCTCAATCCGTGTACTCTTGCAATGTATTGACACAAACGTGCGCGGCGCTTGAACGAGAGCCACAATTTGACAACCACTTGCCCTCGGTGTTGAAGTCCCACAAATGGCTTTCTGGCACGATTCCAAATCGTCAAGACGCAGCAGTCAGGTTGATCCGTGGCGTTGAAATCCCGAGAACAATGTTTTGGTATGCTTCAAGGTCTTCAAACAATTGTCTTCCAACGAGGCAGTTCCCTCAATGGAAATGAACCGTTGTAGGGGCCTATGAGGGGGGAGGTTGGAGGAAGGGCTTATTCCAACATCGGTGGTGACTCCTGGGTTTACCCTGGTCCTCCTCCTCCTCCTCCTCCCTCCTCCCTCCTCCTCCTCCTCCTCCTCCTCCTCCTCCTCCTCCTCCTCCTCCTCCTCCTCCCTCTTCCCTCCTCCCTCCTCCCCCCTTTCCCCTCCTCCGCCCCGCGTGGCCGGGCGGCAGAGGGCTACAAGCGCCCCGCGGCGCTGCTACAGCGGTCCCGTCGCGGGGTCGGCTCCGGTGGGGGCCCGCTTTGACGAACGCCAGATCTCCCCAAGCCTGCGCGCCTGTCGGTCGGCGCGCGTGCGCGGGGTGGGTGCAAGGAAGGAACGAGGGGGGGGAGCGAAGGGGGAGGGGAAAGGAGGAGGAGGAGGAGGAGGAGGAGGAGGAGGAGAACGAGAAGGAGGAAAGAGAAGGAGGAAAAGGAGGAAGACATGAAGGAAGAGAAGAAGAAGGAGGAGGTGAGGGGATGAAGAGGAAGAAGATGAGGAGGAGGAAGAGAAGGAATTTGCACCATCAGCCGCGGATGAACTCTGAGGCCTGCCCTGACCCGCCAATGTCGGTGAAGGCGACACCGTTTTTTTGCGTCGCCCGCATGCACGGGACCACGTCGGGATTGAAACACGTTCCTGGCGAAGGGCTCAACCATATTGAAGGGGCCCTGGGACACACAAATAAATACACACAAATTAAAATATTCCCATATTTTCTTATATTTTCTGGGTTTTTGTCTTCCCCACCACTTCCCATATTTTCCCATATTTTCTGGGAGTCGACGATTAATTGTGTCTGTGTGTTTCTTTCCCTCCTGAAACACGTTCCTGGCGAAGGGCTCAACCATATGCAGGCGTGGATGCCGCAAGGCAGGTGGCACGAGGCCGGGGGGCGCGATTTCTGCGACGACGGAGAGCTGGCCTCCCAGGGCCCCAGGAGGAGGAGGAGGAGGAGGAGGAGGAGGAGGAGGAGGAGGAGGAGGAGGAGGAGGAGGAGGGGCAGGAGGAGGAGGAGGAGGAAGGAAGGGAAAAGAGGAGGACGGCGGCGGAGGAGGGAGGAGGAGAAGGAGGGAAGGGCTAACTCGGGTTCGTTTTTCGGGAATCCGAACCCGAGTTACCCCGGACCCGAGTTACCCCGGATAATTCGGGCGCCCAAGATGGGGCCCGTCCCCTCCAGGCCCCTGGCCCTCCTTGAGGGTCGCCCCCCTCGCCGCGCGGGCCCCCCCCCACCGCCCACGCACGCGCGTCGCCAGGCCTCTTCGAAGAGCTCCCCCGTGTTCTTCACGTTCAGCTTGGCGTAGATGTCGTCGTCCTTCTTCACGTCCAGGGTGTCGCAGAACAGGGTTAGGAGGTCCTCCTTGGACAACGAAGCGACGTACGCCTTAGACAGGCTGAAGCACCCCAACGTTCTCTGCATGATCTGTACCTCCAACTGGCACGGCTGCTTGGGAAACAATTGCTGCTCTTCGGAGAAGATCCCCTCCTCGTCGCGCAAAAGGCGCATAAGATCAAGGAGTTCTCGGAAATCAAGCTCGCCACTCTTGTCGACGTCGAGCTGGAGGAACGTTTCCTCCAACACGTTACTGTCGACCTTCTTCCGCATCATAGCGAGGCCTCTCCTCACTTCAGAAATGCTGAGCATGCCAGAACAGTCTGCGTCCAGGGTGTCGAAGACCCAACGGAATTCGTACACCTGGCTCTCCGTGAAGTTTAGCGACAGGGCGTACTCTACCTCCTCGTCGTACCGGATGCTCTGGAACTTTTCTTCCAGCCGCTGGTGCAACACCTGAACTTCTTCGAAGCTGACCGAGCCGCTGCTATCGACTCTCGCCTCTTTGATCAGCTCCGCCACCTCCTCCTGCTCCCTGCGGGTCCTCGGGTGGCGGCGCGCACATTCGAAGATCGAAGACACAGCACCGTACATGACACGGATCCTTAGGGAAACTGGTCCTGAGGTTGTTTGACATGCTGTCGCCTCCCAGGGTCCTCCGCTGATTGATAACTGGTCCTGGTGGAAGGCCCCAGGGTACAGGATCCGGTTCCCCTTAAAATATTGAAGGGGCCCTGGGACACACAAAACATATACACGAAGAACCGGATTCGCCATATTGTCCCATATGTTCTGGGCTTTGTCTTTCCCCCCACACTTCCTATAGTTTCCCATATGTTCTGGGGGATCGACGATGAATTGTGTCTGTGTATTTTGTTCGCCTCCTGAGTGATGCTAAAACGCTCTGGGCGCTTCTGAGCCTCCAGGGAACCCTCGCAGCCACGGACGGACGCGGCTCGAACAGCCGGGCGCAAGGTGGAAGGACCCTTCCCCTTCCCGGGGGATCACCGAAAACCTCCCGCTCTAGAGGTCGAGCTTCCACGACGGAGGAAAAGCGCCTCCGGAATGGAGGGGACAGCGCCCGCAGAAGGAGCGCCGAACCTCAGTGTCGAGGGCGCTCGATCCTCGGAGTCGCAGGGCCCGCTCCGAGCGAATGCTGGGCAAAAGGGCGCGGCGTGGGGAAAAGCGCGTTCTGAAGGGGCATCCCGCCGCCTGCCTGGAGCACGAGGTCTCGAACTTCGAACTTCGAACTTCGAAGATCGAGGATCGATCTTCGAGGATCGAGGTTCGAACTTCGGCTCTGGAGGTCGAGCCGCTGTGGAGGAATAGAAACATCCAGGGTGGAGGAAGAGGGAGGGAGGGAGGGAGGGAGAGCCTTCAGAATGGAGGTAGGACCTCCGTTCTGAAGGCTTCTGCTGAGGCCCTCCCGCCGTGGCCTCGTTTGCAAAGGGTGCCCACCCTGGTCCTGCCCCGACCAGAGCCCCTCTGAGAGCAGGTCGAGCCCAGAGGACAAAAATCCCAAAGGAGAGTTCGTCGCTCATTCCTGCAGTTCGTATGCCCAACATTCTGAACACTGCATTCTCATCCGAACTAAAGCATCCCGCCCAGGAGGAAGTGAGAAGGGGCGGGCCTTTTCAGAAGGCTCGGAGGTCCCCCGGCCTTCTGCAAAGTGTCCTGCAACCCTCTTTGAAATCAAGCGCAAGCTTTTATCCGACCCCGTCGCCCAACCCCTTCCACTGCTGATGGGCGCGCGCTGCGCGGCCCGCGGGGTCAACAACAAAACATGCATTCGCCAGCACCGGCGTCCACATTGAAATGGGGGGCCCGGGGGCGTCGCCACGTCGGTGGAAGAGCTTGCGTTCGATTTCGAGGAGGGATGCTCACGTTTTTCTTTTGTTTTTCAATTCAATCCGCCACCCCCCTGTCCCGTGTTTGTTCCCCCTCTTCCTTGACTCTCAGTCGTCCAGGCCGTCATTCACTTTTTTTTTGTTGTTTTTCAATCCAGTCCGCCGCCCCCCTGGCGTGCGCGGCGGCGCCGCGCCCGCACTCGTTCCACCTTGCACCTTGTGTTTTTCATGCGCCAGGGAGTTGTCGAACGGGTGCCCGTCGGCTGCCATGCGTGGTCCCCCGGTTGCCACTGGCGCTCGGTTTGAGAGGATCGCAGGAGTTCGCCGTGAGCGAGCCAGGACTCGCAGCTCGGGAAAACGTGCATGGCAACTCCGCCAGTCTCGGGAAAACGTGCATGGCAACTCCGCCAGTCTCGTGCCAGTCTGGCAACGTACGTGCAGCAAAAACTCGCAGCTCGGGAAAACTCGTGCTCGGGAAAACGTACTCGGGAAAACGTGCAAGGACTCGCAGCTCGGGAAAACGGCACTTGGAAGATCGTCGGGCCAGCGCCCATGCCCCGCACAGCGACAGCGGTCGCACCCCGCTTCCCCCCAGGCCGTCGGGGGCTGTCTGCTTCGTCGGGCCCGCCGCGGCCCCGGCGGGCCGCGGCGGGCCCGTCGCGAGCGCGCCGCGGGCAGGCACGTCGGATTCGCGCCGGGTCGCGGGCGCCGTGGGGGCACCTCGCTGAGCGGCCTTGCAGGCTGTCGGAGCTCTCTGCCGGCTGCCTCTGGGCCCCAGGTGCGCTGCATCACTGCATTTTTCACAGACCCCATGTGGATCCCAGATCAATTCCAATGCGCTTCCCGTATATTGCTCGCCAGCTCCAATGCGACCACCATTCAGAAAAAAAACAACCTTTGAAGGTCTTTTGAATCTAGAATCGTGTGGGGTTAAAAACGCATCTGGCCAAGGCCATCGGTAGGAACAACTATTCGGGGCAGCGAGGTAGCCGTTGGAAACGATGGCCAGGCCGCGGGACAGAATAGGAAGAAGGCTACATTTGAAAAAATATTTCCGTCGCGCGACGGAAACGCCCATCAACGAATCGCACGTTTGGCCACGTCGACTGGGCCAGGCCGGCGCCCGAGAAAACTACGAGTGGCCAGCGCTGAAACCATGCGCGCCGGCAACTCACCAGGGCACGCGACGATTGGCAAGGCCAAGCCCTTCGCACTTTTTCAAGCGCCTTCGCACTTCTTCATGCGAGCCCCGCGCGATCATATGCGGGGCCAACGCATTAAATACATTGAGGCACCCGCTGGGGAAATTCGCCGGCCCAACGGGCCAGAGGCGTGCTAAGATCTCTGGTAACAGGTTAACAATATTTCTAGTTCGCGCGCGCGGGGCGGCCCCTGGGGGCCCCTGGATCAAAAGTACCCCGAGAGGAGCCCGAGAGGGCCCCGGGAGGAGCCCAGGAGGGTCCTGGGAGACTCCCCCGGGGCCCTCAGGATCGCCTCAAGAGGGCCCCGAGAGGCCCCAAACATGGTCCAATAGAGCCCCGAGACGCCCGAAGATCGCTCCATGGCGCCCAAGATGGCCTCCAGACGGCCCAAGAAGCCTCCAGGATGGCCCAAGAAGCCTCTTCGACGCCACAAGAGGCTTCCTAGAGCACTTCCTCGAGCGCTCCAAGAGGCGAAATTCCATGCTGACCCTTGGGTTTTGGACAGATTTCGGCGTTTCCACCTTTTCGGCTCCCTGGCGCCCCTAGACGGCTCACAAGGTCGCCCAAATCGCCCCAAGAGTGGCCAAGAGGCCCAGACGGCTTCCAAGAGGGCCCCAAGAGGGCCCAAGAGGGTCCCGAGACGGCCCAAGAGGCGCCCAAGACGGCCCAAGACGGCCCCAAGACGGCCCCAAGAGGGGCCCAAGAGGGGGACCACGAACCGAAACCTCGCGCCTTCCGCCCGAAGAGGGCCCCAGGAGGCCCCGAGAGGCCCCCAAGAGGCCCCAAGATGCCGCCAGGAGGCCCCCAAGAGGCCCCAGGAGGCCCCCAGGAGGCCCCCCAGAAGGCTTCAAAAATGCCTCCCAGGCGCCCCCGAACGGCTTCTCGAAAGACCCCAAGAGGCCTCCCAAAGAAGCATCTTGACGACGACCCTGTTTGGCCCCAAGAGGAACACAAGATGCCATCGAGAGATTTCCTCCTCCGCCCCTTCCTCCTCTTCCTCCTGCAAAACCCCGAGGAGGGTTCTGCACGGGAGCCTAGTAACAGTGATGATGATCGGTCACCTTTATACTCCCGCACGGCGAAGCGAATCTCGGTGGCTTCAGCCGTTAAACACTTGAGCCAAAGGCAACAGGGTTACTATTCCTCCCCAGTCACCTGAACGCTTGCATGTTAACACCCCCCTCGGACGCTAGTCCGTACGGGCTGACGGGGAGGTGTCTTCAAACATAAAAACAGGTTAAACTGCGCAACATGCTGCACGCAAATCGTCATATCGTTGAATTCGAAAGGTCTCGTGACAGCGTTTACGAGCACCACGTTTCTCACACATGTAACATGAGCTCGAGTAAACGCTCTTGCAGTCACATGTTCAAACGGAGCATCTAAAGTTTACACGGCAGGCTAGGATTTGGATGATTTTGATTGCTTTCGCTTTCTAATCGCCACTACCTGCGGTAACTACAAAAGATGCACATGCATACAAGCTCAGCTCAACAAGCTACCGCCGCACGATTGTCAAGCCAAGTTAAGAGGGGAGATGAGGAAGAGCGTAAACTACAGCATGCCGGTCACCTGCCGCCTTTCACGAGCGGCGCGGGCGCCTCACCGACGGGGCCCGCGCGCCCCTCGACCTCGGTAACCCGCGATGCCCCACACTGGCTGCCGTGTAGGACGACACCCTGTTAAGGGCCTGCATCGGGCTGTAATAGTCGGTGTCCAGGTACGCGTTAATGCGCTCCTCGTCGTCGAGCCAGCACCCCTCGTCAAAGCTCTTGATGGAACCGTCAACAATGTTGTGGTAGGTGCCGATGGCCCTCCAGTAACTGGCGTGGGGAGCCTTCAACAAAGGCCCACCGCCTGGATTGTTACGGAGGTGCTCCTCGACCGCAGCGCCGGTAAACGGGTTCACAGTCCAGGTCGGATCGGTAAGCCAGTTGGGGAAGTCGTCGCACGGTAACCAGCCAAACCAGCAAAGCTTCTCACGATGATCGCTTTTACGCTCGGTGATATGATCAGCAGGCCAATTGTCACGGTAAAGTGCCCTCATGGACCCCTGATCGTTAGGAGCGACATCTAAGATGGTCTGGTGCCAGTAGACTGGAGGCCTGTTGATGCTGCCCTTTAACTCCTCGGTGCTCCTGACCTCGAGGTCCTCGATGAAGTAGTTGCGGTAATGCACCTGGAGCCCGTTCATGTAACGGTAGTAGAGCTTGGCAAGATCAGGCGTCGCAAACCGAATCACGGTAACTCCAGTCGAGATGTAACCGTGCGGCCCACGGGTGTCTTCCACCAGGTGCTTAACGGAGACCACAGTGGGGTTACCGTGGGGCAGCATTCCTGCCCACGTTAAGAGAAGACCGTTAAGCTGCTTCTCGTTCATCTCTGGCACCTCGTTGACGTACACCTGCGTGTCCGGGCAACTGTGGAGCTCAAACCACGATGGGTGAAGATCGTCAACGTGGAGTGGTGGCACGTACTCGTCGTCAAATAGGGAC